TCCCATACCCCTTTTTATACAAAACCATTAATAAATGATTAATAATGAATTGGGATTCCCTGGTAGCTCAGCTGGTAAAGAATCCGCCTGCAAGGCAGGAGACCCCGGTTCAACTCCTGCGTTGGGAAGATCCGCTGGAGAAGGGATAGACTACCCACTCCAGTATTCTTGGGCTTCCCTTGTGGCTCCGCTGGTAGAGAATCCACCTGCAATGCAGGAGACCTGGGTTCCATCCCTGGGTTGGGAAAATCCCCTGGAGAAGGGAAAGGCTACCCACTCCAGTATTCTGGCCTGGAGAATTCCACAGACTGTATAGCCCATGGGGTCGCAAAGAATCGGGACACAACTGAGTGACTTTCAATGATTAAACCCCACATCAACCTGAATTTCTTCCAGTCTCTTGCCTACTGCTGCAAAAGAGAATGAAGCCATTATAATAAACTTATTGTTAACGTAAAAGCTAATGTTTTACCAGAAAATATTCTATGAACTCTAAGAAAGAAAAAAAAGAAATCCTGCAAAGCTGGCAAACTCCCACACTTTTCACCACTGTTGGAAAAGAAGACAGATGATAAACAGGGAGATGAAGGGAGAGGATGGAGTAGAAGAAACTGAAGAAGAAATCCCCCTCACCTCTAAAGAAAGCAGGTTCATCACACAGTACATCCCTTCTCTCAGTCTCCCACCCTTCACTGGTCCCAAGCTTACCTAAGGCTGAGACAATGAATGAAATAGAAAAGCTACACACTGTATTTTTCCACCTTTACTATTTATCAAGATATTACAACAAATTAATTTTAAAAACTATAAAAGTGATTTTAAAAGCAGCTTATGGAATATTAACTCATTTAATAACACTGGGATGCTTTTACAGTTTGATGATTTGTAAATACCACTTTTACTACAAATTTATTCTAAAGCTCTAGGTATTAAGGCATATTAAATGGCATTTATCTCATCTAAGGGATATAAACAGCCAGCCATAAATTAGTAAAAATTTAAAACTCATTCATGGTTCATTAACAGTTTTTAAAAAAATAAGATTTACACAGACACAAAACAGGTTCATTTTAGTTATATGTTTGGGGTAAATCAAACGAACAATCTTCCATTTTCCCTTCACTTTTGTTCATTTACAAACAGAAAGCTACAGCATTTATAACTCACATGATGTAACACTTCTCATAACCGAGATGCTAAAATAAACATGAGCTTAATGTCCCATTTACATCAAAGATTAACATCAATAGTTAATTATTTATTTTCTAATATGAACCTTATTTACACCTACCAGGCACTGAGACTACGACAAGTAGCAACGTTAAGCCTGATCTTCTTAACGTAAATATGTTAAATCATGTTTATTCAGTTTATCCCTGACTTAGTTTAATTTCCAAAAAAAACCCAAAAGTTCTTAGATACAACAAATACAGGAGAGCATTTCAGGAGTGATCTTCAAAGCTTTATTCCAGTGCTTAAATGAAAAAGTTATACTATAGAACCAATACAAAAGAAAAGAGAATGATAGCAAAGGCAAGTTTGAATTACACCTGTTCTAGCCTTATTTGTCAATTTTTCAATTTTTTTAAACTTAAAATTCAGCACATTTCCTCTTCACATGTTCTCTTCTGACAAAAAGTATCACAAAAAGATATTTTTAAAAAGTAGTAAATGAGTGTAATATTGGGTTTTTAGCAAATAAAGCCTATATCTTAAAAAATGTAAATGAAATTAACTCTATAGCTCTACTTTCTGTAAAGAGCATGAATAACTCTTGTATTGAAATACACGGCATAATCCAATAGGCCCTATTTGCTCTTTTTCCATTAAAAGGAAAATCTACAGTATTGCATAAAGTCCATATGGGCTTTATCTATAAAATATTATACGGACTGATATAAAGTCATTTAATTAGGGAAAAAAAAACTACGCCAAGTGAATGATATGGTTCATTTTATTGGTTTGATTCCTACTTATCCCAAAGAGAAAGTTGCAGGATGATGGAGGATGGTTGGAGAAGGGGAGATGTAATCAGGAAAGTAGAATGTAGAGAAAAATGAAGGTTGAGACTCGAGACCAATCTGTTAGAAATATATATACATATATATAAAATATATATGTATATATATCCCCATATAACCTTCTTCTGCTCTGAATTTTAAAAGGTCTTTTTTAAAAGAGTTGTAATTACTCCTTACTTTTAGACATGTTACCTTCATTATAACAAACTACAATTCAGTAGTACAATTCAGTAGCAATTCAAACTGCAAAACCATATACTGTATGGTACAGAAATATAAGCCAGAGAATCATCAACAGGAGAACCAAGGGAAACTTGGTATTGATCCTCTAAATCCCATACCTACAATACTACTGCTGACTACAGAAGACTGGAGATTGACATCTCATTTGAAAAGTACCAATAGGACCAATATTGATGCCTGAGTAGAAAAATTATGCTGGTTTCAGAGTTGCTTAGAATCTCAATTTTGTTTTATTTTTAAGTAAAGAAACTTAATTACATGTTTATTTTTACATTTGCTTTTATGATTATGAAATGAAAATGCTTTTACTTTTATAAGTGTGCTATAATATGAAATGGGTATGTTCACCATTTAATTAAACCAAGAGATATACTAAATGTACTGTGCAGTGAATCAAAAAGAACCATTAAAGAAATGAAAAAGATATATGAAAATATTCTAGAATATCTTATAAAACTGATTAATTTATAGCATTAAGTTTTTAAATACAATAAACACCCCACTATTCTCTATATCACAGATATTTTCATTCCTTTCAAAGAATCTACTTTTTATCTTACCACCACCAAAATTCTATTTACACAATGAATAGCAATGGAGAACAACCCAACTACTGCCCTCAGAAAATGAAAATATTCTGATTTTAATATACACACAATCAATGCTAACCTCAAATTTGAAGAATATGTGAACCGTAAGAAGTGAAATCAAAACTGATTGCAGTTCAGAAACCTAAATAAGTGCCACAGATCAAAAAAATTACTGCTTCATATTCAAAGGCACAAGTTCAATTTCATAGATCAGCTGGACTCACTGCATTATATTGCAGGAGAGAGACGTTAAGAAGTGACCTTGGGATCCTGCTCTCCAGATGTTTAAAGGACCCATTTTTTTTATTGCAATTACCTCTACTTTTGATAAATACCTAGCTTACTACACACTTGATATCTTTTCTCTTATAAGACTCTACTTGAAGCTCATTTGAAATTTTAGGTAGATATTATAAAGAAAAAACTTAAGATAAAACATGCACAAAGGGTTAACAAATACTGCTTCCTTTCTGATGCAATGCATAAGAAGGTTAAAAAACTATCACCATATACCCTAAGTTTGGGGACATACTTTCAGAGGTTTAAAGTGAGAAATTAAACAAACCTTATGCATTTATTTTCAGATCACGAAAAAAACTTCTAACTAATTTGTAATATACAATATATATACTCCACAAGTAACTATGGACAGATAAGATATAACATCCATTATCAATTCCCTCACTCTTTTAACTAAAAATTAAGTTTCTCTTTCTTCTGGTCATAAAAATCTGGTTTGGGGTGTTTTAAAAAGTTCAAACATATATTAAGCCATGCTTTGCTTTGGCACTAGCTCCCCCTCCAGACCAACCTACTGATATCACGGCACTTAAAAAAATAAACAAGGAACACAAGTTTTTCCAAGCCACTAGTGATTTAAAAATTCACCACTTTTAAAGACACTCCAATGCCTTAAAATAACTAGTTAAAACCAAACACTGCAGAATGTAACCTAAGTTACTGTTTTTCAATTCTATGTCTCAAAACTGACTTGAAGGAAAACAACTTCAAGTGTCTATTCAATTTAGAACATCCTAAAATACAATCTATATAATGCTATGTTTTATGGAAATTATTTTGAATCACTGTCTTAATAAACCACAAGATATTCTTCATGTTAACTCACTACTTGATCAAAGACACATTTTTTACATCTGTTTCTGCTATCTATGCAACTTTCATTCCAGCTGTTCAGCAATTCAAGTAGAATTCTCAGTTTAAAATAAAGCAGGAAAAGGAAAATTCACGCCTCCAAACCACCCTTCTATGTTACTTAAAGCCTATTCATTTCTAACACCCTGCATTCTTAATACTAAGCTATAAAATCATAATTTCAAATCTTTGAATTTCCACCTTATCCTTACTATTGTGGTAAGTATAAATCAAACTAAGATTTACTATGTGCATTTTATGATATATTTCACAAGGCAAGCAATGTACAAGGCTTTATTATACAGCATAGGATTTCAGGTTAATTTTAAGTTACTTTCAAGAAGAGAGAATACAACTTACTCCACTACTTCAGCATAACTCTAGAGTGCTGTAAATCTCTCTCCTAAAAAGTTTTCTATATGATGCATTCTTTAAAAGAAATACGCGTAAAAATAAGTTAATCAAGAAAATAAATATGTACTTATCCCCAAGAATAACAAGGGAGCAAAAAACTGCAATTAAACCTTGCCTGCAGTTTCTAAAGAGAACCAAGCCAAAGTTCAATCAGTTACTTGTGATGAGTTTAACTGTAAACTGAGAGAAAACTTTTCTCGAAATTTAGTCTACGTTACCTTGAGGTTTAGGGTTTTTCTATAGGAGATTCTGGTTTGCCTAGCTCCACACTGTTGAGCTGGATTAAGTCAACTGTAAACTAACTCAAACATGGGAATAAGAAATAACACCCTGCTCTATGCAAGGCCTCACTCAAACGCTAAAGCTCACCAGGGATAAATTCTAACCATGACACTGCCATTTAACTTAAGAAATACACTGCGTCTCTGACGTTATGTGTGGCTGAAGATTGCAATCCCCACTGTGAGAAAAAAAACAGGTGCTGCACACGACAGCCCACTCACTCTTGCAGGACAAACCTCCTTTAACTGGAGGTTAAATAAATAAATACTTATGAACTCCTTTAACCTTCCCAAATAAGTTTGGAGCTCTAAAGCCGCCAGCTCATCATTTCCACATTAAACGAGGGTGCAGCGGCACTCAAGCCGTGAAACTGCCCTGGCACTGTCCACTCGCCGGGAGCGGATCTTTGCACGGGTCCACTCCCCGATTTCCTGCCGGAGAACCCCTCAGGAAAGCCCTTAACGCACAAGCATGCTCCGCCCCACAGTCTGTGACACCAGGGAGCGAGGTGCTGGCGAAAGGGCAGGTAAGAGCAGAGAAGAGGGACACCTCCCACCCCCGCCCCCATCTCCTTTCCTCGGTTTCGGCCCCTGCCCTAACCAAGGATGCGCGACGCCGAGGGCAGCAGCCGAGCCGCTCCACGCCCCGGCCGAGGCGGCAGGCGTCCCTAGTCCCCTGCCCGCGGCCCACACCCCCGCAACGGCACCCATCAGAGGGTCCCGGGGGCTCCCTCCCCACTTTCCCCGGAGCCGCTGCAAAAGCAGCAGCAGTGGCAGCAACAGGCCCGGGGGTCGCCTCGGGGGGAAAGAGAGGTGCGACGGCCGGCAGGCACCTCCCCGGAGCCTCCTGAGATCCCGCGCTTGCCCACCTCCAGACCCCGGGGCGCGCGGGGCCCGGCTCCCAAACGCCCCCTTACCCGAGGCGGGAGCAGAGGCGGTCTCCGCCGTTCCCCAGCAGCCGCCGCCGCTGCAGCCCTCAGCTGCAGCTGCCCCGCGGTGGGGAAGTGGGAGGGGTGGCTGGGTGGAGGATGCTACTCCCTACTGAAGGGAGAGGAAGAAACGGAAACAGGAACCACCGCCGTCGCTGCTTAACGGAGCCTTCGGCACCACTGACTGAGGGAAAGCGAGAGGCGGCGCGAGCCAGGCAGTCGCTGACAGCGCGAGACCGAGCGCGAGCCGGGTCCCGGGCGCGCGACCCCGAGCAGCGCCGGCCCCATTCCGCGAAGAGAGGAAGGGGACGGGTCGGCCGGGGAGCGGCGAGGGGTGGGGGTCTGGAGCGAAGACAACCGGGCTACTCGCGTTTACCGGAGATAACACGCGCACGCGCCGGAGCGGCTCTGACCGCGAGCGCAGGCGGGGAAACCTCGGCTAGCGCAAGCGTGTCCGCGCGAATGGGAGCGCGCGCCCCCTCAGCGTCCCAAGCTTCTGGGAGAAGGCGCGCATGCGCTGGCCACTGCCTCTTACAGCGACCCCCGCCAGTGCCAGGGCTTCTCCCCGCCCCCTTCTCGCCGCGCCCGTGGGCCGCGTAGCCGCAGCGTCCGACTGCCGGGCTGAGCCGCGGGCCACAGCGGGACTGGGAGACTTCTAGCAGGGGCAGCAGGGCTGGGCGCACGGGCGCCGACTCCGACACGAGTGTAGGCCGCCCTCTACCGCTTGAAGGCCAGAGGCTGAAGGAGGCGCGAGCGGAGCCGGGCTTCCCCACTCCCGGGAGCGCCACCTCCGGGGAATGCCGTATTCTCAACCGCCGGAAAACGGATCGGCCCGTGCCAGTTCAGCCCGCGGCCCTTAAGTACCACTGGTACTGGAGATATGAAGCAGGCTCCTTGCTACTTTTCAGGAGTGATCGCTGCTGTTCAGCCCCCGTAGCGCAGGTCTGGCCGCTCCGCTGCAGCTTGCAAAGCACGATCATAGAATGGCATCGCACTCCCTTGCGAATAGCGAAGCCCGGTTTAATCTTGTGAGAGCTGGTCTTCCACATTCGCCCGGACAGAAAGACCCCTCCCCCATGAGAGCCTGGGTTCGGTGCCTGGCCTCTCCCCCCGACCCGCGGCTGCAACAACCCTTCCAAGGCGGAAGTTTATTCAGTACGGGAAAGAAAACATGGGGCGGGGGAGGGAGCTTTTCCCTAGGATGCTTCCTACCCGGCTCGGACTCGGGAAAATTCCTGGCGCCCGCGATGCAGAGCAGTGGGCCGAAGAGCTAGCCCAGTCCAGCCCTGACGGCGAGCTGAGCCGGAGAAGCTGAGCGCGCCGCCCAGGCACACAAAGTAGTCGCGAGCCGAGGAGGGGGTGCTACGACGGCCAATCAGAGACAGGAACCGCGTGAGTGGAGTGCGAGTCAGCCAATCGGAGGGCGGGAGGATGAGCTTCCCGTACCGAACTCTTCCCTGTAGCCTCCGGACCCAGATCGCAAGCCTGGGCGCAATACCTTGAGAAGGCGAAATGGTGCCCCTAAAGACAAGAATGACTTCTCTAGACTTGGATATTTTTAAGTAAATGCCTTGGGAACCCATCACAGAGCGAAGATCGGCGGCCTTTTAGATGCCAAGTATGAAAGGATCACAGAAAAGGTGGGCTGCCAAGACTGCAATCTGCCTAATAATATTAATAAATTTACAATATTTGTTGACACCTTTTTCGAGTCCAGAAACTGTATCACAAAAATACAAATAAGATGCTGCTGATTCAAAAAAAAAAAAAAGTTCCCTGTCCTCGAGAAGTTTATTTTCCTCTGAAAGAGGTTTGCTGGACCTTGCGACTGAGTTTTATCATCATCCTGTTAGGTAGTTGGAATAGGGAAACAATCCCTTTAAAGAAAAAGCTCTCAGTGAAGTGGTAGTTTCCAGTCATTTTTATGATTGTCTCCCTGTAAGAAGAGAAATTTGAGAAAAAAGTAGAGTGACTGATCTAAGGTTACACAAAAATATATACTGGCAGAGCCAGAACTATATTCTAGCTTAGCATTTATATTCCATCATTCAACCATCATTTATCCTATGCGTGGTTGCTATCACTTACTGCAGCGGTTTCTGCACTAAGTTAATAAACTGAACAAAAGTCTGCTATAATGGCTACATACTTTAGCTGTTGGAATTGAACAGAAATTTTAGACTTATGCCATAGTAAGATAGATTAAAGGCCAAAGTTTTATCAGTCAAACTCTAGGTGCTTTTTAGAAGTCAGAGGTGAGGTCAATATCTGCTTTTTTAATTTAAACTGTACTTTTTAACAATACTTTAACAAGCATGTCTAACTTTAAGATCTCCAGTTTCAAAGCTTTCCTTTACATTTGCCTCAAAACTCCTGGGTTGTTAAATATTGCCTTCATTTTTCCTTTCCAAAACCCTAGGAAGTGAAATACTTATATTCTCTACCTCTTTCTGCTCAAAAAAATTAAAAATCTGTCCAAAGAACGTTTGTCCTGAATTTCTTGCACATTTATAGGATGGTTCTTGTCTTCTTGTTGTTGTTTAGTGGCTGAATCATGTCCGACTCTTTTGCAACCCCATGGACTATAGATGAGCCCACCAGGCTCATCTTTTCATGGCATTTCCCAGGGAAGAATACTGGAGTGGGTTGCCATTTCCTTCTCCAGGGGATCTTCCCCACCCAGGGACTGAACCCACCTCTCCGGCATTGGCAAGCGGGTTCTTTACTGTGGAGCCATCAGGGAAGCCCAAACCTGATAATTTGCTGTCTGTAAAATATACTCAGAGACTAGTCCTTTGGCAATTTGGATTGCATTCTGTTGAGTCAATGGACATCTCAGTCACTGACAGAACACAGCCCTTTCCAGGACTTGCCCAGCATTTAGTGGCCACCTCAGAACTGGAAATATCAGTTAAACAACTGATTTTTGAGAACCAATCTTTACACATTAAGGTCTGGGCCAATAATAAATTTCAAGAAAATTCCCAACAGTTCCAGCTTTTAAAAAAACACATTTCTTTTACTCTTACAAAAGAGGTTACTACTGAAACTCTGCCTTCTTGCTGGGTTAAATTTCTGACAGAAAAATATCCCCAAAAGATTCTAAACATCTCTGGCTACCAGTAGACATCTCTGCCAAAGGCTGATTTCTCATAAGCTCCAGCCTCCCTCTATGCTTCTGGACCCTCCATCTCATCATGCCTGGTGTCTGATATTTGCTTGAGCAAGTAGAACTGCTCCACAACCTCCACGGCTCCGTCACCAGCGAGGCATTAGGCCTATCTTTGCCTATCTGAAAACTTACAGGCAAGTTATGCTCAACAAAACACTGTACAGGACATTCTTTATGATATGTTTTACTAAGAACTAATAGAACAGATCACCAGCCCAGGTTGGATGCATGAGACAAGTGCTCGGGGCTGGTACACTGGGAAGACCCAGAGGGATCGGGTGGAGAGGGAGGGGGGAGGGGGGATACATGTAAATCCATGACTGATTCATGTCAATGTATGGCAAAAACCACTACAATATTGTAAAGTAATTAGCCTCCAACTAATAAAAATGAAAAAAAAAAAACTAATAGAACCTTGTCAGTACTTTATATTCTTTTTCACAGCCTAGATTAAATTCTTTCATCAACCAGAACTTGTGGGGTCTTGCAGGTGGGGTGAGGAGGAGTCAACCATTAGACAATAGAAAAGATCAAAATGAAAGTGAGCACATGAGAAGCTATTGTATCAAGAGATTAGCTAGATCAAAGTTAATGAACTTGAATACCATCACATTTCCAAAATCCTGAACTTTCATGTAGGAGCTAGTTTGAAATTGACTACCATTTCATTAATGACAATAATAAAAATAATAGACAAGTTATAATATTGCTGAGTGCCAGGTCCCATGATAAACTGTTTATCTCCATTATTTAATTTTAAAATCAACCCTTTGAGGTGGGCCCCTTATTAGAGTGGTGGGAGGGATCAGAGAGAAAGGTTGAGGAGACTCTCAGGAGGTTCACAGCAACTACTTAGCAAACAGCTTAGAAAATTTTCCATCTTTACCAATGTAGACCAACTGAGTATCTCTCCTGAAAAATTTCTTATAAATTTTAAACAAATTTTTTATCTTGTTTTGTAATTGTTATTCTAGCTACATTTTACTCAGAGGATTCCATTTTACAGAAAATCATCCAAAAGACAGCACTGTTACTGCTACATGCAAGAAGGTGTGACCTTAAGATAGTCATTTTACCCATTTGGGCCTTAGTTTTCTCATCTGCAAAATAAAAAAGTTGGACTAGATAAACTTTAGTTGTTTGTCAGTTCTAAAACAATACATCTAGCTAGCTGGACACCCCATTGGCAGGAACTACAGCAATAAAATATGGAAAAACAGTCCACACTTCCAAATCCAATAAAATTTTAAGTCACTTTTGAGCCATAGAAATTCCAACTACATCCACTCATTAAAGAGCCAAAGTCAATCTTTCCAATCAAAAGAATAAATGAAGTGATTGATTTAAAGACCAAGGAAACTAGCCAAACTATCCTTGCCTATGACTTGCCTCCATGGCTGAAATTTCTGTCTTCCCCATTATGGTAAAATGTCAGGTACTTCACACTGTTGGTTTCTTATTCGGCATCAATTCTTGTTCCTTCCTTATTAATAGAGTTCCATGTTTTTGTTTTTATCTGTTTGTTTTTTAGATAACCATCCAACCTCCAGCTACAGAATTTAATTTAATTAGTCTGAGTCAATCTGGCTTTCCAGGCATATACAGAGATTACATCCCTGCCACGTACCCCATCTCTTGTAGTTGGATGGACCATGTGACTAATTAAAGTCACTAGTCTATAGTGGGTTATGGATAGAAGTGATATGTGTCACTTCCAGGTAGAACACTTAATTGCAAGTATAAGTCCATCTAGTGTTTACTCTTCCCCAGCCTCAAGACCAGTATTGTTGAAGATAATAAAGCCTTAGTTAACTTAGCTCCCTAAGAAAGGACGATGTGAAAAAAAAAGAAAGAAAGGACAATGTGGAACATCCCACCTCCTTCCTTCATCAAGTCAGGATGGATATATAGTTTGAGTAAAAGCTACACCTTTGTTGTTTAAGCTACTGAGATTTGGTTTTGTTTTTTGTTTTTTTACTGCGGTGTGACCTAGACTCTAAGTTATGCCAGATCCTAGACTATTCTAATTATTACACCTGAAAACTGTGTGAAAGTGAAAGTGAAGTAGCTCAGTCGTGTCTGACTCTTTGTGACCCCTTGGGCTGTAGAAAACTGTGTGAAAGTGAAAGTGAAGTAGCTCAGTCATGTCCGACTCTTTGTGAGCCTGTGGGCTGAGGCCTACTGGGCTCCTCCCTCCATGGGATTCTCCAGGCAAGAATATTGGAGTGGGTTGCCATTTCCTTCTCCAGGGGATCTTCCCAACCCTGGGATCGAACCTGGGTCTCCTGCATTGCAGGCAGACGCTTTAACCTCTGAGCCACCAGTGGTCCTCAGGTAAACTGACCCAATCAGAAGGATTTTTAGCCCATGCTTTGGAGAGAAGATTCTCTCCTTTCTACCAGGTATGAGCAAGTCAGCCTATAGCCCAAACTGCCACTGGCAGCAATCTAACAGCCCAGCCACAAGAGGGACTAATTTAGAATGAAGTTGATACACTACGAATGGCAAACGGAGAGCAAAACCTTGAAGACACAGCTGAGCTGATGGTTATATCACTTCTGAAAGCCAATCTTCTCTGGACTTCTAAATATGCAAAATAATAATTCTGCTTGTCCAAAATACTGTAGGCAGAAAATATGTCTTAAATATTTTTAATTCCATCACAGCTCCTGACACAGATCTATCTCAGGAAACACTCAAAAATATGAATGAAATAAAATTTATAAAAAATATAATAGCTCTTATCTTCAGAAATAAAATATTACCTGCATTAACAAAGGGAAAAATGTTATTTGAATCAACTCAATCTTTTTACAGGTGAAGAGATTTAGACTCAGATATGTTACAGGACTCATGAAGTTCTCATAGCATTGTTAT